TAGAAATTCAAGGATGAATTGAAACCAATGTTGGAGTATTAAGATTTGATCTTCAGTATAAGGCACCAAGTAATAATAATAAAAAATAATGGTGTAAGAAGTAAATGCAATAATAATAATATGCACTTTCATTGAGAAAAATGTTTTTTTGTTTAAAGTCAGTTGTTATATGACCTGGAATGAAGCCTTTCAATATTACTATAGAAAAGCAATACTGTAACCATCCATGTTTAAAAGTTATCTGCATCAACAATTTTGTATCTGGTACATTAAAAAATAACACTGAAGAAGTGATATAAAAAACAAAAACTTATGATAAAATACACATTTCCCTAAGTTTTCTTTTGTTTAAAATGTAACTTAATCCATTTAAGACTTATTAGATTTTGTCTTGTTCAAGATTAATGCAAAAAATTCTACAGAACATAAAAAATATCTTGGGTAACTCATTTTGAATGCTAAATAAAATCAGATCATTGGTGATATCTTAGATATGAACAGAATTAAATATTTAGACTTTAGTTCACAAAAAAAGAAAGAAAAAAAATTAAAGAAAAAGAAAAAATGATAATGATTGATGATTTAAATAATTAAATGGATGGTGTTATGGAATGTTAACCCATATCAACTTTGATTATTCAAGCAGTTGGAAAGAGTATTTTTTATTGTTAAATGAGTGGTTATTAATGAAAAGAGCCATGATTAATGTGAATGTAATCAGCAAAAAATATAGAATAGCCTCAGGTGAAATAAGGTTCAATTATAAGTTTGCCATGATATTTACCAAGTCATACTTGTTTCGATTAATATATCTCCTAAAATATAAAACAGGAAGACATTTTGAAATTTTTTTTTTTAATAAATATTTCAAGAAAGCTGGCTACCTTACTGAGCCATATTTAATAAAAGTAATGTTTGGTTAATTATGAAGTGTAATTCAGACTGCAAAAGGGAAATATTGAGTGTGCAAGATCTGCAAGTAGATATCCAACAACTTGTGCAACCAGTTTATTTAAATAGACTGAGGAGATCTATACAATGACAAAAAAAAAAAAAAAAAAAAAAAGGTAACAAATTCTCATTTTTTAAAAGAATTACATTCTATTTAAAAGCAGAGACTGATAACATAGGTTAAGGAAAGAAAAGCAATGGTCTTATTATTGTTTTTCTTTTTATAAAAATAATAAAAAGACAAACAGTAATATAACATTGTAGTTGCAGATATTTTTTGATAGTAGGAAAATAAAGCTTAGAGAATTCTGGCTTGACAAGACTTGTTTCTACATTTAAAAAGAAAAAAGTATTTTCAACCAGTCTCAAGATACTGATCTTACTCGATTTTTCTGTTCCCTCTTGGTCACTATTATAATCTATGTATAGCTATTTGCAGCATTTATAAGCAATTAGCTCTAGTCACTTTCCCCATTTCTCTTCAAAAAGGACTCCTCTCCATATAAACTGTTTCTTCGTGTGCTCTGATCAACAAATATATCTTTGAACCAATTTTATAGCCAATAGGATAATAGTTTTATTTCATTATTTAAAAGGAATAAGAATTTTACCTAAAGGGTTTTGAATAACTATATACACATAGATTTAGTGTAGTTTTCCTGTAATGGTTAGCAGACAGTTAAGTGTAAAGAGTTTAGATTCTTATTGAATGTTCTAGAATTGAGGTTTTGTACCAGATTAAGCTAAATTAAATACTTATATTCACAACCAATTGTAGAGCAGTTGAGATGAGAAGCAAATCGATTCAATAACTGTCCTTTGCAAAACTCAAAAAGAAACATTATCCCAAACAGTTGGTGAGTTTGTTTTTGCATTTTTTTGGTTTGTAATGTTTTGGTCAATAAAAAATAAATTTGCAATATAGAAATCTCTTGCATGCCATGCAGAAAGAATTGTACTAGTCATTTTGAAAAGTTTTGTAGTAATTTACTGTTTTCATGTAAATAAAAATCAGGAAAAATAGTTTTGGATATATTAGTTATTTAGATAGCTTTAGAACTTTTGAATGGTGATCAATTGTAATTTTAGATTAGAAATATATTTTTACAAATTTTAATCATTGCATTTATGTATGAAAGATTAATTATTCAAGTAGCTCTATTCACAGCATAAAATGTTAAATCAAGAATAAAAATTACATACAAAAAAGAAAAAATTAAAATGCTTCAAGGTAATATTTAATTAAAGTTTAATTTTATAATTTCAATGATGATTTACAACTCCTCAGAAGAAAAATTATTTTATCATTGTTTTATTTTATCTGTGTCATGTAGCATTAATTTCCTCTCTCTCATATATATATATATATATATATATATATTACACACACAACTGTTCAGAATTTTGAAGCCACCCCCAGAATTAGTATGGGATGAACTTGACAGAAGAGTGAAAGAAAAAGAGAAAAAAAAAGAAAAAAGAGCTCTTTGAGTCATTGAAAAAAGAATGGAATCAATTATCAAACTTATACTTTTAGAAACTTTCGCAACGAATACCAAAAATTTGTGCTGCAGTAATCAAGACTAAAGGAGGATATTTTGACGAAAGCAAAATTTAATCGTAAAATGCATTTTTTCTTTTTGTCAAAATAAAATTTCTAATAAAAAAAATCATGTCTCGGTTTTTTTAAAAATTACCAGGGGTGGCCCCAAACTTTTAAACTATAGTGTGTGTGTGTGTGTGTGTGTGTATATATATATCAGTAAGTTATAAGAGTGATTTATAATGTTCTGAGAATATTTTCAATCAAATTAAAGAAACAACAAATATACTTAATCAATGGGGAATAGGTGACAGGAAATCTCACAAGAAATTTCTTTGTTCTGAGTTTTCTTACTCTGGTAATGGATCAAATTCCAGACAATGTTGATGACAATGAAAATAGTGATTGCCACAAAGTGGATGTGGTTACCAATATATAACATTCATCCCAGCCACAAGTGGTTAATAATTGCTTCTTTGCAAATATCTGTCAATATTACTTTCATTGGAAATTTGTGCTACTCATTTATTTGGTCAAAGCTAGACAACAATAGAAATCAATGTATTCATATCATTTGCTATTTATTTATTCAAACATGTTTTATTGAAATTAACAAGGTCTGTTGTTTATAAAAAAACAAAGCAAATTTTAAAAAAATATATACTTTCAACATGACTAGTACAATTTGATAATAGATTAGTATTTCACAGTACATTTATATAGATGGTGTGGTATGAGATTACATTTAATGTTTGACAAATTAATTTGATTAAAAAAAATGAATTAATTTTCTAACACACCCATCTGTATTGACTATTAGTATCAAATATATTTTTTACATTGGCAGGCATGGTATATAAAATGAAAAGATTAATGTACAGGCATTTTTAAAGCAGGAATATGAATTTTGTTAATATACAAATTCTGAGGAGTCGTGCTACATTAAGTAGTACTTGAGGAATTAGGGTCCAAGAAGCAAACATAACTATTTTTCACTTTTTTTTTTTTATTTAAATTTTTGTTCTCATCTTGATTATCATAGACAAAACATTTCAGCCAAGTAGCCTCTGGCCATAATTAGGCATCCATTGTTTGGATATGGCAGTACGACTCTGCTATGATAAAATAACAATGTTGAAAGATACTCTACTAATGGGGACAGTGGCATCATGGATAGAAGAGTTGGTTAAACATGTTACTGTCATCTAGTGGCCATGAGTTCAATCCTTGGATTAAGTAGTGAAACACTGTTTCAGCAGCAACAAACAATAACTGGAATCACAAGGGCAGAATACAATAATCAACAGATATCCCAAATCAGTCAAACAATAAACACCTGATGATGGTCAGAGAGTACTTGGTTGAAATGCTGTCTATAATAACAATCAAGAAGAAAACAAGTTCAAATAAATTTTTAAAAGTATGAATGTTGTTTTAGTGCTTTAAATGTACTTACAGCCTTAATTAAATAATGTATTACAGTTCATGTCCACAAAGAGACTGATTAGTAAAAGCTTTTCAAGGGTAACTTAATTTCTATTTAGCTAATTTTCCAACTCTGTTCTATAATAGTGGTTACATATTTGCATCTATATTTCATATACTAAATATAACAACTACTATGAGACAGAAGTAGTAAAAGAAATATCACCTCTGACCCATTATAGCAATTACATGTGTGTGTGTGTGTGTGTGTATTTATTACACACATACGTACAGGGTGCACAGTAAAAAGAAAAAAAAAAACGGCAAATTTATTCTTTGAGAAAATACACCAGCTCTAATTGGTCCATCTCTGTGGTCCTCTAAAAAGCCCAAATCTGAATGTTATTGATTACTGTATCTGGAGTATACTCCTAACTTACTTGCATCGTTGTGACATCATTGATATTGATAAATTGAAGTGGAACTTAACTGAAGATTGGAATTAAATTGCTCTTGGCACTAAATACAAAGCTACTGCCTCTTGCTTACCATGCTTACAACTGTGTTCAATTTGTGCAGGAATCATGATAGCGAAATAAATAAAAAAATTTTTTTAAAAAAATCAGTAAATTCAGAAAGAACTGAATTTACTACTTTTTTTTTTTTTTTACTGGGCACCATGTATGCAAAGACAAAATGAAAACTTATCTTAACCGATACGTTTCGTCCTCTGAGGGACTTTATCAAGGCAAATGCAAAGACTTTATTTTGTAACAAGTATTTATATTTATTTGTTTTTCAAAATTTTTAAATTTAAGAATGCTCATAAATATTCATCAGGTTAACCAAAAAGTCTCTCTTTTATATATATATATATATATATATATATATATATATATATATATATGTGTGTGTGTGTGTGTACTAAATATGATAACTTTTATGGAACAGAGATTGTATTTTATTATCCCTTTTCTTCCCCCCCCAACTTTATTTTTAATTGGCAAGCAAGATAGATTTTAAAGAAAGAAAAGAGGGAGGGAAGAAAAAAAAAAAAAAAAGCAGTAATGCAACATTGTACTTGCGGAGGTTCCTCAGTGTCAAAGAAGAAGGAAGGCTGAGAGGGTTGATGTTCCATCTCAGGTCCTGGGTCGATGAGGCCTGTTTCCACACTCACCTAGGAGAAGCAAAACTCTTTTATTTTAAACCAATCCAAAAGCCGCTAGTCTTACCTTAATGGGATTTCTCAGTCTTTCTCACTATATTCCAGCCATCTTATTTCCCTATCTGAATATTGGTGTGCTTAGGTGTTTATCTTATAAAGGATCATATAGAAAGGGATCTTAAAATTTAGTTAACAATTGACTTTTCCTAAATTCATTCTGATCTTGACCCTTCATGATCTTGTGATCAGCAAATATTAAATATTTTGGATTTTGCCTTCTGACCAACAGTATAACTATCAATCATTATTTCTTTATCGAAATTTGTCCTCTTTTTTCTACTAATAAATACTCCTTTTTCATAGTAGTTGTTACATTTAATGTACGAAATGTGTATGCAAATGTCACCTCTATTACAGGACAGATATTATGACTATAAGTTACACAATTGATTTACTGAAGCTTTTTTTTTATTATACATAACATATATATCATATGAATGTTGTTAACTTGAAATAGATGTTTTCTATACGGATTGTGGCTATACTAACACTGAAGACATTTATCGATAACTGAAATTAGTGAAATATAGTGAAACTTTATTTTTTATCAAACTATAGAAAATCCAGGGTTAATTCAAATCTTAATATGCTTTCTAAAAGTAGCCTAATTATTTCTTTTATTTCAGAAACATTAGGCATGCCAAGTTTGTTTGAAAACTGATGTAGTCATCTCAGGAAACAAAAAAGCAGATGCCACAACACATATGATACATATATTAATACATGGGTGTATAAAATGAATATTAAATAAAATTTTAAAAAAATAAAAAGTAAAGCATGCATCCATTTCTGCCAGAGCAAAACGAAAATACAACACATGTCTCTACAATTGGACTTTGCTTTATCTAATCTTTATACAAAATAACTTTTTTCTATAAGTTAGGCATTGTAAAACTTAAGGAAAAAATATGTCAAGATTCAAGTAAAAAAGTACATTTAGATGTTACCACATGAAAAGAGTAAAAATTGTCAGTATAATGTCAAGTATTCAAGGGTGCAATAAAATCATGGGTAATTCCAATCAAATGTGATGGTTCAGGAGATAAAGCAATGGGTCAAGAGATGAAAGGATGTTTAGTTAAATAATTATTTTTATAATTTCATACTCAGAAAGAAAAAAATTAAGTATCTCAACAGTTTCTTCAGTCTATATTCAAAAATTCCATTTTATTCTAAGTTAATGTAACTTGCAGATGGAAAAATATTTGCAACACTGAAAAATATTTATAAAAAAATTTAGAAGCAAAATTCTGTACTAGTGCCCACAGTTAAGTATTTGTGCTATAAATTGAATTTTTCAAAATAACTCATGTAGAAGTAATTTCTCCTTGTCCAGATGGTGTATATATATATATATAAATAAAAGACATTTTTTATGTTTATACGTTCTTTTTATAGATACAAATATTTAAGTAAATATGCATCCTTCAACAGGAATCGAATCTGTATCCTATACAGAACTGTCATATAGCCTGACATGTCTTAACCGTTAGCAAGGTCGATTTTACTGTTTTTAAAAACAATTTTCCATGATTTTCTCTCATTCATTCATATTGGAGGATGCATATTTTCTATGAAAATTTCACGGACATTCAGGCTGGTAAATGTTGTTAATACCGTTTATTACAAACAGAGCACTTACTTAAATATTTGTATCTATAAAAAGAATGTATAAACATAAAAAATGTCTTAAATAATTGTCGGACTTGATTTCATAATATATGTATATTTATATAATATATATATATATATATATATATATATATATATATATCTACACACACACACACACACACACATAAACACAAATAAATTAAATATTACCTGTGGAGCATCCTCAGCTTGTGCATCTGATGCTGCAGTGGATTCTTCAAATGCATTAAATCCATTGCCTGCTGTAGCTATATTAAAATAAATATATATATTACATAATTATTTTGGTTCAATAATAAAACATTCAGAAACATACTTACACAATGAAACAATTCCTTAATAAAGATATGGCAGTTAAAAATGACAACCTGCCAAAAGAGATTTTAAGTTAAAAAAAAAAAAAAATTAAATAAACAAATAAATCTTAGAATTCTATTTTATATGTAGGTTTTACTACATTGCTACCATTTATTTTGATAAAAAAAAAAAAAAAAAATTAAAGTTAAAATTAACCCCAGATATTTATTTTATAAATTTGCTAGGTCTCATTAAAATCCATCAAAGGAAATAAACAGAACACAAATACAGAAGAATCCAATTGGAACTAAATTCCATATAATATTGGATAATTTAATTCAAATCAACAAGTTACTTATATATTAAATATAAAATTTGTTCAAAATTAAAAATAAACACAAACTTTGCACAAAAAAGAAAAAAAAAAAAGAAAAAAGACTATATATTTAATGTAATTCAAATGCCAGGAAGCAGTTTTAGAATGATTTTATTTTTTTTATTTTTATTACTTTGTCAGAATCTATAGTGGATGTTTGAAAAATCAAATCATGGAAAATGTACAAATAACAGACAAAAATCATAAAATTTGGGTTATTATCATGTAATAAAGTGACAAGAAGAGTTTATTCCTGCCATTTCAGTGCATGAATATATAATCTGACATTTGCCACTTTGTGGCATGTTGTCAATAGCAAGGTTCATTTAATAATCTTCCACCAGACTATGTTCATTCTGAAATGCTAATGAACCTTGGGGACACACAGGAAAGTGTTGAGAATAATTATGAAGCATTCATTACTGCACTTGAAATCTCATGAAAATTATTTACACCTGTTGTGGAACTTGTACAATAACTGAAAAAGATAGAGATGCCTGGTTTCCAAGAATTAGCCCAACAACATTTTATACATTATATATCAGCAATGGCACTTATTTTTAATGTATTGACTTTGTAAACCAGTAAAAACACAATATATAGGGTACTGAATAATCTAAAGGGCTTCACCAACATTAATTGCATCAAGTATACAATGTATTAAGTTTAGTGCAGTATTCTTCTACCTAACAAAAAAATATAACTAAAAATTTATTAGTGGTTGAAAGAAAACCAGAAATGTGATACTAATAAAATGGAGCCACTATTCACACTTCCAGAGAAAAGTTTTTAGTGAAAGCTTGATATCCAGTAAAAATGTAACAGTCTATGATTATTTACTTTAAAATTATTTGAATGAAAATAGCTATAGTAACAAGGCAAAGACTATTCAGGAACTGTATATATCAATATAATAAATGCAAAAATGTGTGTCACACTTTTTCAATTAAAAGGTACACAACTCTAATTTTTAAATATCTCATCTTCTCAAATGAAACTTGCTCATCAAGGATTGGAATTGAATCCTCAGATTGCAAATTTAGCTCTCTGTGTAACTGAAGACAAAGTGATGAACTTTGCTCAAAGAGATCTCAGCAATTTTGGTCTGCCAAATTCAAACAGAAAAACTGGACAAATCAACAGAGAAATTTTAAGAGAAACAGGATACAACATGGAAGAACTGCAGCAATGTGTTCAAAACAATGAGTCCCTGTTGAAGCAAGACCAATGGCAAGTGTGTCAGAAGGTCCTTGATGTCATCAGCAAAAACAATGGAGGGATTTTCTTCTTGGATACACCTGGCAGTACTGGTAAAACTTTTGTAACTAACCTTTTTTTTTATCTGCAGTAATACTCCAAAGAAAAATAGCTCTAGCAGTAACATCATCTAGAATTACTGCTACTCTCTTGCCTTTGTACAGTACAGCACTTTCAAACTTCCATTGGATTTGAACTACAAAGCCCTATTTGCAACATCAAAAGAGGAACCAACTTGGCTAAACTACTGGAGGAGACAAGCTTCATTGTCTGGGATGAATGTACGACGACACACAAATAAGCATTTGAGGCCCTGGACAAAACACTCAAAGACATTAGACAGAATTCACAAATCATGGGCGGTATCACTATGCTACTCACTGGTGATTTTAGATAAACATTACTAGTTGTTGCAAGAGGAATTCCAGCTGATGAAATCAATGCTTGCCTGAAAAATTTTTACATCAGGAGCCATGTTCAAAGACTCAGCCTGAAAGCAAACATGAGAGTTAAAATCACAGGTGACCTTGAAGCAGGAAGATTTGCTGCTTTGATGTTGCAACTTGGCAATGAAACCACCAAAATGGAGATATTTCACTCCCAAATGGTTGTGGAGTTTCAGTCTCAAGTATCCAAAACTTTATTAACCATGTTTATCCAGACATTAAACACCAGTTCATGGATTCAAACTGGCTTTGTGAGAGAGCCATATTTGCTCTCAGGAATCAAACTGTAGATAGAATCAACTGGAAACTTCTCCAAGAAATTCCAAAAGAAAGCATGATGTACTTTTTCAATGACACTGTGATTGAACAAGAGCAGGCCGTGAATTATCCAATAGAGTTCCTGAGCTCATTGAATCCTCCTGGAATGCCATCACACGTTGGAACTAAAAGAAAATGTGCCAGTTATACTATGGAGAAATTTGGATCCTCCAAAGCTTTGTAATGAAACAAAGTTAATTGTCAAGAAGATGCTACCTCATCTCTTGGAAGCAGAGATCCTTACTGGCTCAGGAAAGAGTTTTAATTCCAAGAATTCCTCCAAATCTCCCTTTTGAGTTCAAAAGACTCCAGTTTCTAGTGAGAGTGAGCTATGCAATGTCAATCAATAAGTCCCAAGGACAATCATTGAAAGTAGCTGGACTTCATCTGATGGAAACCTGCTTTTCTCACAGCCAGCTCTATGTTGATTATTCAAGGTTTGGGAATGGAAACAAACTATTTGTACTGACCCTGAATGGGAAAACCAAAAATGTTTATCATGTACTCCACAATAAGTTCCAAATAGACAAATTATATCATTGTTTTGATGAAAACTGTAAATTGTTTGAAAAATTTTGTTCAAGTTTAATAAAATTTAATATGTACTTAATGCATGAAGTTTCATTGTTGAGTCGAAGGAGCTAGCTTAAATAAATAGACTATTTTGCTGCTCCTGGTAAAATGGAGACCAGGGACATTTTTGCCAGTAAATATAGTGTTTTAGAACTAAAAAAAAAAAAAAAAAAAAAAAAAAATATATATATATATATATATATATATATATATATATATACACGCTTAAAAGCCACCCTATTAGCCAGCATTTAAGCGAGCTCCTGTGGAAGGCTCTTGATTGTACCTTTATTACAATAGCTAGGGAGGAGTAGATGCAACAGGCAACAATAAACTACAGAAGAACTCAAAATTGATTGCTGCATTCAACTATTGCATTAATATATAAGTTTACTTTTTAAAAGATCAACGATAATTCTTTTGCTGTCTCTTAATTTAAGGACAATTTGATGTATGTAGGTCCTTACTTTCCATACAAACAATTATTTTATTTCATAGGTGACTCACTGGATTCCACAATTTTGATTATTTGCAAATTTATTTCCAAGTTATAAAAATTGCTATCGTACAAAAAAAAATTGTTAAAAAAAAAAAAAAAAAAAAAAAAATCATGTTAAAAAAAAATGTCACTGAAAACAATCACAGTAATGAAAACTTGGGAATTTTGGAATAGTGGGTCTGGATCCGGCCTGATTCCAAAATGGTATGTTAGGCGTAAAGTTGCAAACACAGACAATTTTATTTTGAAACACTGTAATTTGAGAACAGTAATTTTTACATTTGAACATGAGCTATTGAATAAAAAAACAATATTCATTCAGTATAGCCATGGAACTCAGTGATGGAGATAAAACCAACAGCATGTTTCAATGAAAATGAAGATCTGCAGAAAGCTGTGCAACGTGTCTATGGAGCCTTGAGATCATCAGCACAGTGATTGTATGAGCTGTTTTGGCAAGACTTGAACATGGATTCTGTGGCCTGTGACTGTTGTCTTCAGTGGGTGCACCTTATGTATATTGGCAAAAGAACTATGACGAAGGGCAAGTTTAGGATTTACAGAAACTGTTGTGCCAGAAGTGCTTACAATAGTCAAAGACTTCTATATTTCTTTTAATTGATGATGGAAAACTTATTAAATTGTCTTAACAATTGAAGGTGAAAATAAATAAATTTCTGTGTTAAATCTGAGTTTTGTTATTTTTAACATTACCTGCCTTCATAATAATAAAAATATTTACCAACAAAATAGCCTGGGGGTCTATTTTACCAAGACCAGTAAAATAAGCTTAAAAGCATGTTTGCCTATCTTACCAGGACCAGCAAAATAGGCTCTTCCTAAATAAAATTCCATTAGTAAAACAATATATTAAAAAACGGAAGAAATTATTTTAAAAATCACCATCTTCCTTCTATCATTTCATTAAATTCACATAAAGACAAAAAAAATTCATGCTTGTAGTAAATTACAACAGTCGCAATACTATTTTTATAAGTAGCTTGCCTTTAAGAGAAGAGAATGGACACAAGTTTTTATTGATCTCCTTTTGCCCCCTGAAATAATGGAATATTCTGTAATCCAAAAACTGATGCTTAATATTGCCTAAGCTGATGGAAAAAAAGAGTACTTCTGTGATATTAGAAAAAGAGGGAAATAAATTGTATTAAATGCATTTTGCAATGGATCAAAACAAACAGTAACATGTGGCAAGAATGACAGCTACTGTCTCATAACAAGTGTGCATATCAGGGTCAAAGTTATATAAGCAGTCAAGTCAGCCTAGAGTACTTCATTTGGATGTATTGAATGCTAGTTATAGGCAAGTAAGATTTCAAATAGTCATAACCAGAAGACAAGGTTAGAGTATTTATTTCCAAAACAGTACAGCTGATGAAATGCCCACATTCAATCATAGTGAGTACCTATTTGCAAACAAATTTAATCAAACTGAAGGAAGGAATGTCTCACAACACACAGTAC